TCCCAAGCTAGGGCTGGGTCGAGGACAGACACGTCCCCACCTTTGCAGGATTTTGCAAAAGCGAGGGGGGAGGGCGCATCGCCGCGCGGAGAGGGCTGGGCACAGGGCACAGGGGATCTCTCTCGCATAGGATATGCACTCGGCGGCACGAGGGCAAGGCTGGGCGTCCTATGTTTGTGCTCCCCCCGGACCCCTCGCTCTCGGGCACTAACCATCTGACCACTCATCGACGGGGCTTGGCGAGCGGCCGCGCTGCGGGGCAGGGCTGGTGAGGATGGGCTCTGGCCACTCGCCCGTGCGGTTGTAACCGCGCATCAGCCGAACGGAGGCCTCGACCGCCCCTCGCGGCAAGCTCTCGAGCATCTCGAGCAGCTCGCCCGCCGCCATCGCCGCCTCGAACTGCTCCCTCATGCCGAGCGCGCCGCATACCCTGCGGACCGCCTCCTGCTGCACCTCGTCCGGCGTATCGGTTTCATAGCCGGACGAGTCAGCGGAGGCGGCCCGCTTGGCGGGCGGAGAGTCGGGCGACGGCGAGCGCGACTGGCGCGAGGGCCCGCTGCCGCGCGCGGACAGCGCGTTCTTGTCAACGAGACGGGGTCCAGCATCGGCACGGCCCCTGGCACCGCGGCCCTTGCCGCGCTGCTGCTGCCCACGCTTCCTGCCCGGGTTAGGGACAGTGAAGGAGCAGCCGCGCACTCCGCCGCCGCTGGGCGGCGGCGGCACGCGCGCGGCGGCGGCTGGGCCCGCAGGCGCGGCGGGCTGGCCACCCGCGGTGGCACCCTGCGGCTGCGATGCGGCTGCGGCGGCGTACGTCTTGGGCGCCGGCTCCGCGGCTGGCGGCGCGGCGGCAGGGGCGGGCGGCGCCGCAGGGCTCGCGCTCGCAGGCGGCTCCGTGGCCTGCGCCTGCCGCTCGTGGCGCACCGCGCGCTCGAGCTGCGAGTGCGGGTGCAGCTGTACGATGACGTCGCCGCTCTGCGTCGCGGTGAAGGAGACCGAGTACGGCGCTTCGCCGTCGTTCTTCTTCTCCGCGTAGACGAGCGCGTAGTCGCACACCTGTCGTTGGTGGTCAGTGAAGATGGTGGTGTGCAGCGCTCGGCGGATATCCATTTGTATCGCCCGATTTCCGCCGCGAATTCTTTTTCAACTCTGGGTTGTGTTGCCTGCTCGCGCGCCGGGGCCCTGCTCTCGCCCGCCTGCAGGGCAATGGCCGTCACGGCCATGAGCCCGGGCAAAGAGCTCGGTGCGCGCGCGCCCGAGCCTCCCGCGCGCGTGTGCGGCTGCGCCGCCGCCGGCAGGCCTCCGCGCGCGCCAATAGCAGCTTTTGCCACGCCTCAGCGCGGCAGGGCCTCTGCGGCATGAGCATGTGGCCCCTCACGCTCGTTCGGCCCGCCTGCCCCTCCTCTCCCTCCCGCGCGCTCCGACTAACCTCCGCGTGGCGGTCCGCGCCCTCCCGCTCCGCCAACACCGTACCGCCCCTCTCGCGCACAGAGATGGGCAAGGTCTTTGTCGGAGGCCTCTCCAGGGACACGACGACGACGGGGCTGCGCTGCTACTTTGAGCAGTTTGGGCACATTTCGGACTGCGTCGTCATGAAGGACCGCTCGACGGGCGCTCCGCGCGGCTTTGGCTTCGTCACCTACCGCCACCAGAACGTCGCTGATCACGTCGTCGCGCAGCGTCACTTGATAGACGGCAAGGAGGTCGAGGCCAAGCCGGCCGTGCCGCGCGACTCGGACAGCCTGGCGCGTCCAGCGCTCGTCGCTCCCGTCGTGCCCAGCGTGCCGCCGGTGCCGGCTCCCCCGGTCGGGCGCGAGGTGAGGGCGGGCGAGCTCAAGATCTTTGTCGGCGGCCTGTCGCACGAGACG